TATTGTTTGTTTTGAATTGCACCCCCTCCCTAATGATTGTAAGCCGCCCTGAGTCCCCTCAGGGAAAAGGGCGGCCTATAAATCCAAATAAAATACCAAAAATACCAAAAAATACCAAAGATATAGAATAACAGAATTGAAAGAGACCTCAGAGGTCTTCTAGTCCAACCCCCTGCTCAGGCAGAAAACCCTATACCATTTCAGACAAACGGTTGTCCAGTCTCTTCTTTAAAACCTCCAGTGTTGGAGCACCCACAACCTCTGGAGGCAAGTCGTTGATTAATTGTTCTGTCACGAAATTTCTCCTTAGTTCTCTCTTTGTTCAGTTTCCATCCACTGCTTCTTGTTGGCTTTCAGGTGGTTTGGAGAATAGGATGACCATCACTTCTTTGTGGCAACCCCTGAGATATTGGAACAATGCTATCATGTCACCCCTATTCCTTGTTTTCATTAAAGTAGACATACCCAGTTCCTGAAACCATTCTTCATATATTTTAGCCTCGTCTCATAATCATTTTTGTTGCTCTTCTCTGCACTCTTTCTAGAGTTTCAACATATTTTTTTACATCATGGCGACCAAAACTGGATGCAATATATCTGGATGCAGATGTTGAGACAGTACAGAGAAGAGCAACGAAGATGATTAGGTGGTTTTACCAAGTCATTATAAAGTGGTATTAATGCTTCATAAAATCTTGATAAAAAGGGGGGGGGGGAAATCATACAGCAAAAGGTAAATGCCCAAATTATTCTCTACTCATTGATTCTAATATGGATGCTTTCCAATATTTTAACTTAAATCTGTAACAAAAATAATATGCAAAAATTATTCTTTTGTTTGGAAGAATTAAAACATGTAACTCACTGTGAACAACATTGTAGTCTAGGACTCCAGCAAGCTGAGGACCTGAATCAATGATTTTATCAATTGCAGTTTTTTCACAGGGTGTGCATATCTAATGAGAAAAGGATGTATTAAATAATGTATGCATAACACGTAAAAAATTATTTGATGTAGAGTGGTCAACGAAGAACACAATCTATGCCTATGCTGAAAACCCACTGTTGAATTCAATGCTGGAATAAATTTCCCATTAGAAAAAGACGCATATTTTCTATCACCTTAATTCAGGATCACTTAATGAAATTGTCAGTTGGTCTTATCTGAACGGCATGTCTCGAAGGATGGCGTGGGAGCAGTCACAGCTGGGTATTGTCACGGCCCATCTGCCCGAAGACTGAGGTAAATCTTGAGGCCACACCTCTACCCCTCCTCTGACTCTCCCAGATTAACCAATGATCCAGTCAAGGCGACTCTAGAAAGAAGGGAACAGGGTAACTCCCCCCTCCTGGTCCCTGACTGATCGTTAACACTCTACTCAGGCCCACCCTGCATGGGGTGCACTATGGGTGGGAAGTGATTGCTCCCACGCCATCCTTCGAGACAGGCAGTTCAGGTAAGACCAACTGACACTCCAAAGTGGGGTGTGGGAGGAGTCACAGCTGGGACCTACCAAAGCTAGGTATCTCTGGGAGGGACCATAGGGCCTGAGTCCCCCCGAGTATCCAGCACTCTATAGAGGACTCTCCTCCCAAAGGATGCCTCCGCGGAGGCGAAGGCGTCCAGTCTATA